AAGAATTTTCCACAGTTTATTGTGATCCACACAGTCAAAGGCTTTGGCATAGTCAATAAAGCAGAAATAGATGTTTTTCTGGAACTCTCTTGCTTTTTCGATGATCCAGCGGATGTTGACAATTTGATCTCTGGTTCCTCTGCCTTTTCTAAAACCAGCTTGAACATCTGGAAGTTCATGGTTCATGTATTGCTGAAGCCTGGCTTGGAGAATTTTAAGCATTACTTTACTAGTGTGTGAGATGAGTGCAATTGTGTGGTAATTTGAGCATTGTTTCAGATTGGAATGAAAACTGACCTTTTCCAGTCCTGTGGTCACTGCTGAGTTTTCCAAATTTGCTGGCATATTGAGTGCAGCACTTTCACAGCATCATCTTTCAGGATTTGACACAGCTCAACTGGAATTCGATCACCTCCACTAGCTTTGTTTGTAGTGATGCTTTCTAAGGCCCACTTGACTTCACATTCCAGGATGTCTGGCTCTAGGCGAGTAATCACACCATCGTGATTATCTGGGTCGTGAAGATCTTTTTTGTACAGTTCTTCTGTGTATTCTTGCCACCTCTTCTTAATATCTACATATCGACAAACACTTGTTTCCTGAATGAGTGAGGAGAAAATGTGAAAATAATTATGGGGCAGGGGGCTGAAAGCCAAGAGCCCAGGGCAGTGGGGAGCCAGGAAGAGAAGTGTCGTGGGAGGAAGAGAGGCTAGAGGAGGAGGTTAGTGGGAAATTGTGTCCCCCATCGCCCAAGAGCATACACTGTGGGTGATTCATCCTCAAAAAATTGTTTTTCATCCTGTGACGTCAACACAAACCTTCAGCAAGAGCCTGTCTCACACAATAGCTTCATGCTGGTGATGCTGGAGTGGGGGCTGGAACTCAGAGAAAGGGAACTAAGACTTGCGTTTGGGGAGATTGAAAGCCAACAGAAGAGCTACCAAGAACAAGATGCCAATGAGACCAGCAGTTCTGCAGGAAAAGGAAATCATAGGGAGAGTGATTGTGAGACCAGAAGCCTTTGGGGCTCCAGTGGTATTTGGGGGTGGGAGCTCGACTTCCATATGTTATTTTTCATGTCATAGAAGGAGATTAAATTAAAGAAGTTTGGAGAATGAGAGACTCCCAGCCTTGACATGTGCTTGCCTGCTAAATGGCTTCAGTCACGTCTGACCCTTTGTGATCTCATGGACTATAGCCCACCAGGCTCCTCTGTCCGTAGGGATTCTCCAGGCAAGAATACTGGAGTGGGTTGCCATGCCCTCCTCCAGGGGAGCTTCCCAACTCAGAGATTGAACCTGAGTCTCCCACATTGCAGGCAGATTCTTTACCATCTAAGACACCAGGGAAGCCCTAGCCTTAAGATAGATGTATCTATAAATACCCAACCATAGCATGTATCCAGAAAACAGAATCACAAACTTATAGCAAATGGTAAAGCCCGAATCAAGACGTAGTCTCTCCCCCTACCTCCTCCCCTCTCACTGCCAGTCTGACATATATGGGTGGAATGACACCCACGTAAGCCCCTTCGCTTCTAAGTATCTCTGAGTTACTAAGGAAGCAAAATCCCTCCATGTACCCAGCTGGTTCCTTCCTTGTTGCCAACTCAGAAGAGGGGAAGAGAGTGGAATTCTACCCAATACAGAATGAGAGGGAACCAGGGATCGTGGCCATTTGGGAGCATTTTAGGACACAGTGGCCTCCCAGGGTTCCTGGAATCTCAGCAGGAAACAGGAACCCTTGTGTCCTTCATACTCCACTGGGCAGCTTTTTTCCCCACCCCATGAACTAACAGGAAAATAAAAATTCTGTTTGTCCAAGTCATTTCCATGAGTAAATTGGCAATTCATGTGTCTGGGCTTGCCTCTCTGATGCCTCTAGGGATTAAACGGATGGGTCAGGAGGACTGGGAGTTGGCAAGGACCTAGACCCGGTTCAGGTACCATCATACTTTAGAACTGGCCCCAAGGGCCAAAAGTAGATCGAGGCAGAGAGGTAAGCTGGCAGCCCCCTTCCCTCCTGCTTAGGGTTCCATCTTATCACAGCCTCCCATAAGAACCATCCCAGGCTCCAAATAGCTCCCTCCACCTCACTTTTATGCCACTCTTCATTTATAGGGGTCCCCAAAATCAATTCCACCAAGCTGAATTGTCCTGGTTTTGTCTCTCCCCTTCTATATCCAAGATCCACAGTAAACAATCTCTAGATTGGCAGCCCTAAGTTCTACGCACCCTTCTTTCTAACTCCTTCATAGTTTCTTCCTTCAGTACGTCCCCAGAAGGAAGAAACCTATGAAGGTCCCTCCCCCACAACTTCCCACGATCTAATGATGCGTCAGCCCTCCATCTCTTTAGGGTGAAGAAACTTAGCATCCACTAAATATGTCCCTGACTTTGCTAGGTAAAACCAAGTCCAAGATACACAATGACAAGGTGAAAACAGCTTTGTCACCAATAGACTGGAATTTCTACGTCAAAGTGGCCATTATCCTCTCCAAATAAGTCACTGAGTGACCAAGCACTTATTCCAAAAGAGCATGCAGTGCTCGCTTCGGCAGCACATATACTAAAATTGTAATGATACAGGGAAGATTAGCATGGGCCCTGCGCAAGGATGACACCCAAAAGAGCATGCAATGACCAATTTCATGTGGAATCTAAAAGAGTCTAACTCAGAGAAAAAGACTGCAGAGTGGTATTTACCATGGGCTGGGGGAAATGGGGTGATATTGGTCAAAGTGTACAATTTCCTAGTTATAAAAGTAGCAAGTTTGAAAATTCAATGTCCAGCATGATGATTATGGCTAATAATACCATATCATATACTTGACTGTTGCTAACAGAGTGGATCTTAAATTTTCTCACCACAAAAAAAGAAATGAAAAACTATGTGATAAGAGGGAGGTGGTGGTTAGTACTATGGCAGTAATTATTTTGCAATATATGTGTATCAAATCAACACACTGTACACCTCAAACCACCTGAAACTCACATAATGTTATTATATTTCAATAAATCCTGGGGGTGGAGACTCGAACATTCATTACTCTAAAATTGCTTTTAGAAGCTTCCCTTTTAAAATGACCTTTTGAAGCTCTTTTGCAAACCATGCAGACTAGAAAACCTTATGTTGGTGTCATCAAGCCCTATTTTCATTTTTCTTTTCTTAACGTTTTAATTTTGTTTTTATTTATTTTAAAACTTCAGTTTTTTAAGTATAAGCAATGCATAACACATAAAATAGTTTTTTAATTTTTTAATCAAAATATAGTTGATTTACAATGTTGTATTAATTACTACTCTACAGCAACGTGATTCAGTTACACATATATGTGTGAGTTAAGTCGTTCAGTCGTGTCTGACTCTTTGCAACTCTATGAACTATAGCCCTCCAGACCCCTCTGTCCAGGGGATTCTCCAGGCAAGAATACTGGAGTGGGTTGCCATGCCCTCCTCCAGGGGATCTTCCTGTCCCAGGGATCAAACTCACACCTCTTGCATTTGCAGACAGGTTCTTTACCAGTAGCGCCACCTGGGAAGCTACACACACACACACACACACACACACACACACACACATTATTTTTTTAATATTCCTTTCCATTATGATTATCATAAGGTATTGAATATAGCTGTCTGTGTAATACAGTAGGACTTTGTTTTTTATCCAGTCTATGTAAGCTTACTTCTGTCAAGCCCTATTTTCAACCTAAATCTCTCTCCTCATGTATCTCACCATTGGAGCTTGATGTCATTTGACTATTTCCAAACATCAACTCAAACTTCATAGGACTGCGATGTGTTACCTGAGAGTATTCAAAGTCTGGAACATTAATTCTCTCAGGCATTTTTCTGGTAAGTCAACTTCTCTGCCTTCTGGTCATACCTGTTGCACTTGACTAAGGTGACTGATCAGCTTGCATCTATTCAGGGAAACCAATCATTGCTGTGGGCCTTGGCAGAAGGACCAGTGAAGTCAGGGTATTAAGGGTGAGATGACTCATGTAAAGACAGTTTATACATGTGTCTTGGAGATGAAAGGTGCTAGGAGCTCCTGGAGGAATCTGGGCCATTTCTTTTCACTGAGTTCTCTGCTATATATCTCTTACTCTCTGGGACAAGGCTCTCACCCAGATGCTAGAGAAAGAACATGAAGGCGTAAGGACAGTCAGACATACAATCATTAGGACCTTCCACAGCAGGTCCAGGGAGGACAGCCTCTCAAGCTACCCAATACAAAGGGTAGGAGTATGTTTATTAGCCATCTCAGGAGAAAACAAATAACCCTTTCTGGAGTAACCCCTACCTCTTCCATCCTTGCCTTCTCACTCTATCCCCATGTGCTGGCGCTAATTGTTTCAGTAGTATCCATCTCTTGGCGACCCCATGGACTGTAGCCCACCAAGCTCCTCTGTCCTTGGGATTCTCCAGATAAGAATACTGGAGTGGTTGCCATATCCTCCTCCAGGGGATCTTCCCAACCCAGGGATCGAACTCGTGTCTCTTAAATCTCCTGCATTATCAGGGGGGGGATCTTTACCACTAGTGCCACCTGGGAAGCCCACTTGAAATGAACATTAAATTTAGGTCACTTTAAAAAAATTAATGAGAAAGTCTTTACCACTCAGACCCCTGCCTTCGTTCCCGTGAGTACACCCCCTTCAGTCCCTGGGTCTCAAACAAGAGAAAGGCCGGGAGGGCTGAAGCTGAAGAGGCGTTTCCTGCTGTAAATTCTGAGACAGGAATCCTGCGGGCCAGTTTCCATCTGAAAAGAGCCCGGTGGGGATAGCAGGACCCGCCCCCATTGTGTTTTCAATGATACACCATGGAGAATGAGAAGACCCACTTCTGTGTACACATCCTGCAAACACACATATGCACACCTGCCTGTGTACAGATGCGCGCACACACACACACAATGCTCCACCTGGATCCCTGTCCTCCCCATCAAGTTCCCGCATGCCTGTCTAGGCCAGTCACCCTCTTACTCACTTACAGGGAAACCCCCGGGCACTCAGCATGGTCCCCACATCTGGCCAGCTCCTGAGTCCTGTCTTTACAGACCCTGGAGTGTTTACCCAACACACCCCTTTCCTCCACTTCCACTGATGCTACTCTATTCTGCCTCTCTTTTAGAGGCTTCCTATTACAGTTTAGATTAATCTCAACATTGTTTACATAAAGCTCAGTACCAGTCCCACCCTATAAACTTCTTGAAGGAAGAATCTTATCAAATTAATTTCTCTTACCCCAGTGCCTAACAGGGCTTTCTTGGGGCTCAGATATTAAAGAATTTGCCTGCATTGTGGGAGACCTGGGTTCGATCCCTGGATTGGGAAGATCCCCTGGAGGAAGGCATGGCAACCCACTACAGTCTTCTTGCCTGGAGAATCCCCATGGACAGAGGAGCCTGGTGGACTACAGTCCACGGGGTGGCAAAGTGCCAGACATGACTGAGCGACTAAGCACAGCACAGTGCCTGACAACTGAATGGAGAGCCAGAGAGGATAGTGTAAGCTGGGGTGGAACAGAAAAGGTCGGCTGGGGCCTCTGGCAGATATGAGGTGTTCCAGAACCAGGCCACAGAACTCCCCCCTCCCAATTCCCTTCAGCCACACGCCTTGCCTGTACTGGGAGGAAGAAAGCAGATGAGGTTTATACTAAACTTGATAGTAACTTTCAAAAATGGACTCTTAAATAATCAAATGACTAGGAAGTCATGGTATCTGCCCAGAGTGTGGTTAAAGAATACGAGAAGATGATTCGACAAAGCTCATGTAGGAGCAAGAAACAGCTTAGCAACTGTTTCCAAAAGTCAAATCAGCCCACAAAAGAACAAGATTTGCCACATGTTGACTCTCAAGGACTGAAGCAGGGATCTTCTGAGGCATCTAGTAAATATTCAGTACCATTGCTTTCTGGTCATATGTCCCCACGAGGCAAAGGTGAAGGGTCAAGGGCATCAAGGACGTGGAATGGCATCACAGGTGCCTGGTGGAGAGCAGTCATGTCAATCACAGCAGTCAGGGTAAGATGGCCCTCACAGAGACAGCCTATCTCTATGTCTTGATTCCAATGGGTCAGATCCCAATGAGTCCCAACTTTCTGTCTTCGGAGTCTCTGTTACACCTCCCACTCCCAGGCAAGGTCTGCACAAGTGGGCATAAAAATGGGAAAAAGAAGTCCAGAAAAGCCTGGTGGGTGAAGGATACACAACTGGGCAAATAGATGGCTATTCATCAGCTCCTATAGGACTTCACAGAGAACAGCCCTTCTGCAGGACACAGCAAAGAGGAGGAGGCTTCATCTTAACAGTCCCTCTCCTAACACACAAAGTGGATTCATTCCTTTCCCTTGCAGTTAATAACTTTGAACCCAGGGCCTAATAACTTTGAACCCAGGGCCTATCACAGAATAGTGGGGGAAAATACTAGAGCACACATGCCCATATCTCCCAAACCCCCATTTCTGTGAATAATTTTCTTGTTAACTCCTGGAGTCAGGAGTGAGGCAACTAGAGAAATGGGTGGATAGTAAGTAGTGATAGTGATATTTGGAAAGACTCTGCTCTGGCTGGAGAAGGAAATGGCAACCCACTCTGGTATTCTTGCCTAGAGAATCCCATGGACAGAGGAGACTGGTGGGCTGCTGTCCATAGCGTTGCACAGAGTTGGACACGACTGCTGTGACTTAGCATGCATGCATGCATTGGAAAAGGAAATGGCAACCCACTCCGGTATTCTTGCCTAGAGAATCCCAGGAACAGAGAAGCCTGGTGGGCTGCCGTCTATGGGGTCGCACAGAATCAGACACGACTGAAGTGACTTGGCAGCAGAGGCTGCTGCTCTGTGGCTATTCTGGTATTGGTTTTGGAGACCCAGCCTCTTCTTTTGTGAAAAGTGTTAGTCACTCAGTCGTGTCCAACTCTGCAATCCCGTGGATTGTAGCCCACCGGGCTCCTCTGTTCATGGGATTCTTCAGGCAAGAATATTGGAGTGGGTTGCCAAGCCCTTCTCCAGGGGATCTTCCAGACCCAGGGATCTAACCTTGTGCAAGTTACAGAGTTTGAAATGGTTGACTCTAACACTCTGCTGCTGGAGACCTTTTGGATTCTAGAGTCAGAGCTCCTCCCCTTGTCCACAAACCACCATCCACTCATACACTACACACACACACACACACTCATTTATACACACACACTCACATACTCAAACTCTCAGACATGCAACCCTTATCCACACCCTCACTCTCCTCGTCCAGTCAACAACCCAGTCCACACCACCTCTGAATATTTATCAGCATATACCCTTTTCTCCTCCCACTGACCCTAAAGCACATCAGACCTGCATTCTATCTCTTCTGGATATCTCCCGTTAGAAACCAGATAAATCTCATATTGTTTGACTCATATTTAATTCCAAACTTGACTCTGGATCCTTTGAGGATGGGGATCTGCCAGATTCTTCTCTCCAGCAAAACATTCTTCCAATGAGAGTACGTGGGGCCCATATCTATCTCTCCTGTCCCACCTCCCACTACCAACCCCCTCCACCCCTCAGTGCCAGGAATCTCTTTCTGGACCCTCCGGATCAGAGAACCAAGACCAACTAGCTCAGCCCCTACAATTGCTGGTCACTTTATTTCCACCTCATACTGAACCCCATGGGGCGCTAGTGGTATAGAACCCACCTGCCAATGCAGGAGACGCAAGAGACACAAGTTCAGTCCTTGGGTCGGGAAGATACCCTGGAGGAGAGCATGGCAAGCCACTCCAGTATTCTTGCCTGGAAACTCCCTTGGACAGAGGAGCCTGGTGGACTGCAGTCCGTAGGGTCACACAGAGTTGGACACGACTGAAGCGATGAGTGCATGCACACTGAGCCTGCTGTCTCCTGCAGACCTACCTGACCCTCTTTCCTGCATACCAGCCCCGACAAGAAGCAGCCGTTCAGGTGGACCAGGGCTGTTCTGCACCCAGCCAGCCATGGTGACTTCACCGTCCTTCTGACACTTCACAGAGCCCATCCTACCCATCCTAGAGAACCTCAGACAGGCCACGCTCAATAGGGCACCACGAAGCCCACAGGCATCATCCCTGACCCAGACTGGAAAGGATGGGGAAGATTCAGAGAACTCCAGGAAAAGCTTCAGGTAGGAAGAGATTCCTGGTTTGAGACTTTAGGATGAGTACATTTAGACACCTATTAAATCCACCAAGGGCTCTCAGGTTTAGAGAACAATGTGAAGAAATTTAACAACTTAGTGGAAAACCTTGATTTACTGAGCAACATTAAAAAAAAAAAATCTGTCTTGAAAGCATAAAGTCTGAATGAAGGTTTAAAAAGTAAAAAAGCTGAAATTGTGACTGGGCCAGATCATGAAAGGCTATGTTGGCTCGGCTAAATAGCAAGGGTTTATCCTAAAGGGAAGTTGAGAGGCTTTGGAAGATTTTAAGCAAGAAGTGACAAGACCAAATTTGCATTTTAAAAACTATTCTGGCAGCATTTGGAGGAAGGACCAGATCATCAGAAAACAAACCCAGTGTGAGACTGTTCTTTATCAGGGTGAGATGCAGTAAGGGCTTGGACTGAAAGGGTAGCACTAAAAATAAACAAATAAAAGGGTGGCATTAAAAATAAGGACAGGGAAAGAATCCAGAGGACCCTGCAGGGAAACCCCAAGATTTCTGACTTGCTCGTTTGAAAATGTGCTCACATCATTAGGCCACGTGAGAAACACAACAGAAGGAGCAGTTGTGGGGGCAGGAGGTGAGAATGATAGAGGGAGTGGAGATGATACTGAATCTGAGACACCTGTGCAATGTTCAGTGGGGAGCCAGCAGGAGGGTGTACAGACGTGTCAGAAGAACTACCTGGGAAAGAGATGGAAACAGTCAGCAGAAAAGATGGTTGAAATTATGCAAAGACCTTGAGCATGGAAAAGAGCTGAGGGTTCATGGAAGGTTTGAGGAGGAAAGCACTGTGTGAGACAGCTAATTGGGTAAATGGGGAGCATATTTACTGGAGAAATGTTGTAGGACTAATAGGCAGAGATAGGTGCCCAGTGTAGGTTTGTAGTAATAAATATAAACTAGGACCAGCCCGCATGTGATTTTCCCTAACACTGTTCAACTGAAGAAGTATAGATACCAAATAGGCAGGTTGGGATTCTTAGAACTACATATGTGCGTAAGGACTCTCTGCCAGACTCTTTTCCATTTAAATGAACATATGAACACAACTATATTTAAAATGGATAACCAACAAAGATCTATTGTATAGCACATGGAACTCTGCTCAATGTTTTGTGCCAGCCTGGATGAGAGAGGGACTTGGGGGAGAATGGATACATGTACATGTTCTGTTGAGTTCTTTTGCTGTTCACTTGAAACTATCACAATATTGTTAATTGACTATTCCCCAATACAAAATAAAAAGTTTAAAGCTTGGGGGGAAAATGAAAAAAAAAAAAAGCTTGGGGGAAAAATGAACATATGAACAATTCTATGCAAACTGCATTATTATTCAAATTATTAGTTAAATGTTCATAATAAACCACACTGGATTAGCACATATTCTCTGCAGGCCCATGAACATTCACCTACTTCCCAGGTAGATAGAAACTATACTTTCTAAGTGTTTCAGCCTTGCTGGGGGTCTTCTCATGGCTCTCTAACAATTTATATGAAATTCGTACCACTCTTAAAAAATGAATCAAGTGTTTTCAACATTTGTGAAAGAAGATTAATATGTAGTGAAAAACTAGCAAAGAATCACTTGCTGTGCAGGTGACTCAAACCATGATCCAAAAATCTAAAAATTCAGGAAACGAGATTATTGCTTAACACTGAACTAGTCATGGAGTAGTGTTTCTGAATTTTCTGTCCCTTTTGATTTCTGGAAGGCATGGATTCTGGCAAAGAAGTTTTCCTCAAATCCTGTTTGACTTTTTCCTCTCCATGGGGGGGCAGGGGGTGGGGATCAGACCTGACAGCTAAGAGCAGCTTTGTCACAAGAAGTTTCACTACGTTTTTCCTCTTTTTTTTTCTCTTTTGAATAATCAGACACAGATAGAAAGGCCAGCTCCCAGTGCTATGTTTTTAAAAGACCCAGGTGACCTATCTCTAAAAAAGAAACTGTTTCAAGGATTAAACATTCTGATATATTGATCTTGTTGACCCAGTATTTTCCAGAGGTCCCCAGAAGTTGGCAGGGAATGTGATTAAATGTCTCTCACCCGGGGAGTTCAAGGTGGACTGTTTCTGAAGACCATTTATTTCCAACAGTTCCAGAGAGCAACACACAAAAAATTACAGATTAGCAATCACTTAATTTTAATATTAAGCTATAATACAAGTGCAAGCATTGACATTGCTAGGATGTAATAGACACACCATGCTTCAAACCATACATTTAAAAATAACATAAATAACATAAGAAAAATAATTCTTCTGGGAATGTATTCACAGGTTTTAACTGTTTCTCAACCATCTCTGCTTCTAACACCATGTCACTTTTATTCTGAAGGATATTTTTAAACAGTATTTTATTATTTTTTACTTCTTATTAAAATTGCCAGTGACCATTCCCAAATTTGCAAGCTATGAATAATAAATCTGAAATTGTTGGCATTTGTATTTAACTCTTTTCTGCAGACCATGTATGTGTGTTTAGGTAAGTAATGGATCTATTTAAAGAGAAACACTCCACAGACAAGAGCGTGGGCCATCTCAGAAGGCGAGAGGCCCTGAAATTCAGCATGGTTAGTTTTTTTTAATTGGAGGATAATTGCTTTACAGTGTTGCGCTACTTTCTGCTGTACAACAATGTGAATCAGTTATTGGACCAGAATATTTTAAGTGAGAAAAATACTCTTTACAATTGCTGAAGTAACCTGGTAAACTCAGAAAATTCTGCCAACTAGAATACTCTATCTTAATTTTTTCTTTTGAAATGTGTAAATATTTTCACAGATAACCGTATTCTAACCTGTTGACAAATATTTTTAGAAGGCAAAAAGAACTGACAAGTAATCTTTACTTTATGGTTCTTAGAATGTTTCACCAGATTGAGATTCTACTCAATTTCATCTAATTCCAGAAAAGAATATCAATTTGTTTGTTTCAATATACGAGTTCTACCAAAACATT